GGAGATGTTAGATCCCAGCAGGAGGAGAACGCTCTGTGAATCAGCCGCTCAAAAAAAAAAAAAAAAAAAAAAAATAGAAAAAAAAAAAAAAACCCACAGGAAAATCTGAATTCGAGTTTACTCTCGAAAAACATGCTACCATGTTACAATGGTGTAGATGGATCTCTTCAAAACAAAGGCTTTTTATATGCGATTCTTAGTCATTTAAGAACACCACCACCTAGCGCACCATTTCTTGCTTCTCTGACCTGAACTCGCATTTGGTGCAGCTGAACTACCGCTGCAGAATTACCTGCTGGAGCAAAACAACTTCAGGAAATCCCCTCCAAGAACCTGGTTGACTTTTATTCACTTTTGCTGGGCAAATGTTCCCCCGATTTAAAAACTTCGGCAAAAGTGGCACTTGTAAGTCCAGTGTAGCACAGATTCATCCAAGCTCCACATTAAGAGACATTTGATTACACACACAAGTGGTTCATGCAATACATTTGTTTAGGTCAAGTGATCAAAAGAATAAATTCTATATTGATTAGGATTATTATAATAAATATTTAATAATATTTCAGCTAGGCCTGGACAATAAATCTATCAGTGGTTCTTAACCTTTTTTGAGGTACCGAACCCACCAGTTTTATATGCGCATTCACTGAACCCTTCTGTAATGATAAATATGATCCCCCTCTACCCCCCAAATTCAAGATCAACAAGTCTTCTTAAAAGGTAGAGTCTCTGAGAACAGTTCTTCAAAATATAGTCACTGTTTTCAGCAAAGTTGAGCTGACTGTCCAGGAAAGACCCAAGGTATTTAAAATTTGCCACAGTTTCAACAGGTTGGCCATCAAGACAAACTGGAGCCACTTTAAGGTCTTGTTTAGATAATTTAATTGGCTCTACATTCTTAAGAGAATGGAAAAATTAAGACTTTGCGGTATTCTGATTTAGTCATGTAATTAGTTGCGTTACCACCCTCACGCCACTAGAGGCAGTCCCAACCCCGAAAAGGTGCGACTAAGGAGCAGATTTAGAAGTACACCGAACGCTACAGAATTTGTTAAAAACGGTGAGTTTTGCTGAAGTAATTAAAGACAAGTTCAAATCCATGCTGAGAGTGGCGCTCCTTCAATCAGTGCTTCTCCGCAGCGCTGATTGGCTAAGCAATGTAACGTGATCCTCCGCAGCAAGTGATGGCAAAGCGGGGCGTCATCACGACTTTACACAAGTGTGTCTATCTCCGCGGCAGAGACTCCGCCGAACCCCTGAGACCGACTCATCGAACCCCCGGGGGTTCGATCGAGGTTAAGAACCACTGATCTATATATAAATACGTCTGATAGAATATTCAGTAATTCCATTGTACTCCAATCCAGAACCGTACAGCATTATGGGAGATGTAGGAAGAGGTTAGAAGATGTAAGCTAGGCATTAACCAACTCGTTATTTGGTTACCTAGCAACAACATGTAGTTACTTGCGCAGCAGCAGCTTCAGATTTCGCCACCGTGTCTCATAACATCTTAAAAATAAAAACTATGGTGTATAGTGAAACCTGGGGATAAAACAAGAAAGGTCACGCCTCCATTTTGGCAGTAATTTAGACTTAATCTATATTGGCTCATACTGTGATATCGTCCAGCAGGAATAACTATTCGATTATGTTAAAATTGTTTACTTTGATATTCCTAAGCAAATGCAGTGAAACTGTTTTCTTAGTACTATGAGAATCTCTCAGCTGATCAGTATAAGTGTTTTCAGACTGCTTTCAAAAGAAAAAAAAAAACAAAAAAAACGAGAAAAAGCTTTGATTAGCCAGACTCAAACACACATCAAGACAGTTTTATCTTAATAGGTGACTTCATGCCATCTTTAAAGACTAATGACAGCATAACATGTTCTCATCTAAAGAGTTATAAATCACCAACAGTGAGCGAGTGGATGATATATGCTCCCTTAATTAGCTTTAAACAGATGAGCTGTCAAACTAGGCTTTTAAGTCTACATTATGCTTGAGTAGCTTTCAAAGTGAAGGAGAAAAACATTAGGTCAAAGCCTGACAACGTTTTGATCTGATGCATGTCAGCCAGTCAGATTTAGTAGCAGGTAAAGAGAAATTTATAGGAAAGGCCGTTTCAGGTGGCAACAGAAGACATTCCTCTGCTTAGATAGCCAATAAATCACCAAGCAGCACCAGAACAAATGCAGGAAACATTCCTTTAGTCAGGAAAACCTACAAACCCCCCCCCCCCCCCCCGACAGACGCACACTGCTGGAAGAAGCTGTGAAACAGCGATGCACCCTGTGCAACAATGCTTCATCAAAAAGCAGGGAGGAGTGGGGGCGTCTTCAAGAAAATCTGGGTTTCTAGATTACATCCAGCTACAGCGTTCACCCTCCTGCTGGAATCAGAGGCCAGAAATGTTTAGCATTTCTTTGCTCAAGTCCTTAGTTGCTCATTGCGACAGATGAGGGTTCACAGTTTGCTTCCACTTTTCTTGTGCTCTGACCTGCATCACAAGTTCTCAGCCAGATGTCTGCTGGGAATTTGAGAATTGAAAGTTTCCTTTTGCCAGCAAAACTGTAGATTTGTGTCGCCACCTTAAAGTATTTTTTTTTCACCCTGCGAACTTCTACAAAATATCCCTGATTGCTACAACAAAGTTTAATATATTTTACAGGGATTTTATGTAAACACAAAGCAGCACAGTGGAAGAAAAGAAAAAATTACAGAAATTTCTACAAATAATCTGAAATGTGTGGCATGCATCTGCATTCATGGCTTCCCCAACACTGATACTCCTAATTAAAGCCTATTAAAACAGAATGCATTCATCCGAGAAGCAGTTAAGACATCCATCAGATTTGTAAAGATCCACAGCTCAGGTAGAGGAGCTCGTTGGCAGGACAACCATTAAAAATCCATCATCACTGTTAAAAAAATATAGGCAGAAAAAAACCCCTGTTCTATTTGGGGTGCTATGGTCAGATGAGATTAGAACTAAGAAAACTGACCCATTTCAAAGACAAAAATAAATGCTGGACATTACAAGCATTTAGACTAAAGTTAATTTGCAAAAAAAAAAAAAAACTATTTAAAGTCAAAAACTTGTTCTACAGATGGATGTATACTTTGGCGATATGCAAAGTTACAAGTTAAATCAATAAAAATATTAAAAGATATGCAACTGTTTCAAATATGGGTAATGGGCATCGTTGCCCAGGGCGCTATTCCATCAGGGGGGGGCGGCATAAGCACTTAGGTTAAAAAAAGTAATTGGTTCCCCTAATGAGTTTATTAATTTTTTATATTTTTACAATTAAAGCATGGCGAAAACATGGCTGCACACTATAGAAAACAAAAACAAATCAAATGTTTGCTTCTTATATTAGCATTTGGTGCTAAAACAAATGACCATTTTATTCTTTCTAAAGAATTTACCCTGCTTTTCATCTGGCTCTAAATAGAGTATTGTGAGACGTCGCAACTGGTTTATTTTGCACTGAACATGGATTTTCTAAAAACAGTTCGACATTTCTGAAACCTTTGTTCCACTTCTGAATACACACTAGACAGCATGTTTACTTGATTTTCTAGCATTACGACTCCCCTAGATGAAAATATTTTACACTGCTCACAGACTGCTTAGGCCATTGTTTCAATTTGTAAATCTTTTTTCTTTTAAAGGGGGGGGAAAAAAAAAAAAAAAAAAAAAAAAAGTACCACGAACAGAATGAAGCCTCACCCAATGCGGCATTTTTCTAAGAACAACCTCCAGGTATAGTGGACTGGGTGTAAAGTGAGTGAAAAAGCAGCCAGAGTTTGAATAAAAACAGAATGAACTCCGAAAATATCAATTACTACTACTTAAATATGTTCCAAATATGGATTTGGTGAAAGACATTTCCCCACCCATTATCATACTCTACGCCTTGCAGGATTCAAATTTACTACAAAGACAAGAATCTTGTCTAGCCGTACGATAAAGAGCTACTTTGATCGATTTCCACCTTCCCCTTACATTACAGTAGAGGTAAAGTACTTGCAATAATTCCCAGTAATCTCGTAAATCTGCTTCAACTCCCCCGCTTGAGCCCGTTTCTGGGCTGGTGAAATCCAAATCCCCACAAAAGCACATCCTTGCAGCTTTCCCACTGGCCCAAATAGCATTCTTCACATATTTCCACCAAGGTTTCTGGGAGTTGGAGTCTCAGGCTCGCCACTCTTCTACTACTACTGCTGCTGCTGCTCCACTCCTTAACCCCACACACACACACAAAAAAAGACACAATCACGACCACTTTGACATAAACAAGCAGACTTTTTAGGCCGGTTCTTGACACGCCGCTCATCTGAAGGAGGTGTCTGTGTGAAAGAGGAGAGGGAGAGCTGCAAAACAATGGCTCTCTGTTGAGATTCGTCAGCCAGGAATGTTTCAGGTCACTGAAAGTCATCAAGTCAACGAGTGAACTGATGAGTTCAGGTGATTGGAGTATCAAGCTCGCTCCTCCTTGAGGCCTTGGGTGACCAGACAGACTGGGTTACTACTGGTTCAACACACAGGCTGCTGGTCTGGTGACACCAAACTCCTCTGAAACACAACAAACCGGAAAGGCTGAGGCTGCTGCCCCAACTCCCTGTCAAAACACTGTCAGGCTTGGTGTGTGGAGGGACACGATGGGAACACATTAAAGTCGCCAGCATGGTGCATTGATATGATGGGCGTTGCACGCACACGCACACACCCCTGTTTCAGGAGGCCACAACTCCTGCTAAATCTCAGCTGATCAGAGATTTCCAGCTAATTCAGCCACATCAAACTGAAATCTGATTAAATGGAGGAAAGAATGAGCACACTCATACACACACGGTCTACATCTGGGGGGAAATATTTCGTTTTCAGACAGCTCCTACATGTGCGCACATAGTTTAGAAAGTTAACTTGTTGAATTAACATACCTCTGTGAGCGTGTGTAATCCCACTACCCCCAGGCCTCCAGCCTACCTACCTATCTCTGGGGTCAATCCACGAAGTTTGCCTGGTGTTGTGGTCGATGTAAAACACTCTCCCGTCGTAATCCCGGGCTTCCTCCCAGCCCGCGGGCAGCGGCAGCTCCGAGCTCTCTCTCCGCTTACCGCTGCTGACCCACGGCATAGTGTCGAGACGGTGAGTCGGGCAGAAGCCCCCCTGCCCTGCTTTTTTTTTTTTTTTTTTTTTTTTTTTTATCTCCCCCGAAAAAAAAAAGAGAGTCGTCGGTCTTCACTGCATTACAAAGCGACTCCACCTCGACGCGATGGGGAAAGGGAAGCGAAAACAGCAAGTTTCCACCGAGGTTCTCCGCTGAAACAGTCCCGCGGGAGGAACATCCACTTTCTTCCACTACTGCCCCCCTAAAAACAGTCCAGCGGCGTTCTCGCGGTCCTCCATGTTCGCCTCTCCACCATATTTCATTCCTTCGTGTCTGTCCATATTTGGGGGCGGATTTGCATAAACGCTCGGACGTACGACTGAGCGAGTTCCTCCGACCAATGGGGAAACTCTGCGAATCAGCACTCTCATTAGAACTAATTACTACCACCCGGGCAGGGGATTTAAAGTGACTTTAAAGTGTCGCGCCACTTCAGAGTTTTATCATTACAGCAGTGGAAGATATAAACACACCAAGAATAGCTAAGTAACAAAAGAGAAAAAGTTAAAGAAAAACTTTTCACGTATTGGTCAGTAGGACACTACCACATTTTAGTTTGAGTTAAAAACAAGTATTTTATAACTAAGATAAAACAGTAAATATATTTAATATAAGACGAGGAAAAACTTTGATTTAAACACACGGACTCCTCCCACTAAGTTTGCTGCTGTGATTGCGGTGGCAGCGGAACAAGAGCGCCATCTTGTGTCTTTTATCCAAATAGCATCTCAGTGAAGCGTATCGGTTTCTCTGCTATACTAGTCAACAAAATTCAGTGTATTTCAGTAATTTAATTCAAATTAAATTCTTTGCAGACGCCGATTAAATTAATTTCACACACAGTGATATATTTCAAGCAAGAAATGCAAAATTCAGTTTCTCAGAAAACTTAAAAAAGACCAAAAAAAAAAAAAAAAAAAACAGTGGGGAACACATTTTTCTGAAAGTTTTTCTAGCAGACATCCATTGACACAATGCAAGTGGAAAGGTAGAAATATTTGGGGTTCCTTTGGTGTCAAAAATATGTTTTGTAGCATGCTTACGTAATGTAACGTGTTTATGTGTATATGTCACCTTCCTAAAATAACGGCCCAAGTTTTTTTTTCTTCCAAAAGTCGATATTTTTGTATTAAAAAAAATCTCTCTCTTTTTTGCCATTTGTATTCAAATTTTCAGAGAAGCAGAATGTGGTGTTTTGAACAGCTGTCAGTCAAACTCATCAAAACTAACTGAAATAAACACTTGAAATGCATCGGTCGGTGGGTAAAGTCTCCGTATATATTTCAATATTTAACAAAAATGGCTGAACTGAATTACAATAAATTCACTTATCCGTCTGAATTTATTTGTTCATTTCCTGCATACCTTAAATATAACAACAACAAAATCAAACCCGAATACATTCCAATGTAGCTCTTCCTGTATCTTTTAGAGTCTGATATTTGGATCTATTTGGCCTTCACTGAAGTGGAACAGAAGAAATCCCACGTGTTTGTCGCCCTCATGCGGCCGAATGAAGCAACTGCAGCGGCGCTGCTGCCACCCATTTCCTCAGTTTTTAACAAGTGTCTGCTACAGCAACAACAAAAAAGCAATTTAATAGGAAAATAAATTGACGAAGAAGGGGGGTTTTGGCTCCTCTTTTCTTTTCTCTTTTTTTTTTTTTTTACTTCAAACAGTATTGGAAGTTTCTTCTGAAGTTGTCCCTCTCACACTGTTTGAATACAAACAGAAGCTTCCTTTTTCTCTTCCACGAGGAGATTGATTTGGCATTGTTCTGTCCGAGTCTTTGTCTGGACATCAGAACTCTCAGCTGGGGATTTTATTGCCTTTTTGTTTGCGGTTCGAACAATGTTCTTAAGAACGGGAAACATTTTCCCACATCTCGGCTTTGATCTGCAGCCTCCTACGATTGTTTCCCACAGGCTCTGCTGTGTTCGTAAGAGACGAGACAATAAGCTGCTCTGTTGTTTCACATTCAGTCACATGCAGCCCGAATCTAAAAGCAGTTAGCCCAAACTGATGAACATGACAGAATTTGCAACCCAGTTCTGTTGCTCTTGCACTATATTGATTCTTGAATGTATGGAAGCCAGTTTGTGTGCCTTTCTCTCTGATTCTATGCCATTTTGCATGTCTTGTTTCCATTTTAAGAACTTTTACATCTGGAAATAGTTGCTTCTTACATGTCCAGAACAAACTGCTTGGCTTTCTGCCCTCATGCATTGACATATCTCAGGATAAAACACACAGGATGCAAAAACAGACATGAAAGAAGTCTTTTTTTTCCCCTGCCGTAACATAGATTGATATCTTGTCTACGTCTAATGACCTCTCCTGTGGCTTGCAGCTTGGAGAAATGCTTGACAATGGCTTAATCTAAACGAAGCCATCTCTGCCTCTGCTCCTGCTGCCCATTGGCATGGTGGCGGGATAGCAAAGGGGGAGGTCCAAACAAGCCCCCTCTCCTTCCTGCATCAGAAGATGTGTGCTCCTCTGAGTGGAAAGTGTTTGTGAACAAGCGCCGAGCCCTGAGCCAGAGCAGTCAGCTCTAATTACCAGGCGCTTTGAGCAGCCTCCGTCCTGACCGGACTCCGAGAGGCCTCTCCATCCCAGGCGCAGCCGGTGAAGGGGAACTCTCATGGATCTCTTGAACGTGGAGGCTGGAGAGGCAAGGAGACACATGGACTCGCCTGCCTGCGTCTTGGAACTGCTGGGGCTGCTGGTCTACGTCGGAGCATGGCTCTGCGCTCTGGGCAGCACCATCCTGCCACAGTGGCTGACCAAGTCCACCTCTCTGCTGCCCACCGAGAGTTACGACTTGGGACTGTGGGAGACCTGTGTGGTCCAGGACATTGGCGGCATGGAGTGCAGGTCTTACGACAGCCTTTTGGGCCTTTCCAGCGACCTCAAACTGGCCCGCATCTTGATGTGCACCGCCCTCGCCGTGGGCTTGCTGGGAATCGTGGTCGCCATACCCGGACTCCACCTGATCAACAGCTGCAAAGACTATGAAGGCCACCGAACCAAGAGGACTCTGACCATCACCGGAGGGGTGCTGGGGATGATGTCCGGGGTGCTCTGTCTGGTCCCCGTCTCCTACGTCGCCCATTTGGCGGTGATGCATTTCTTTGACGAGAAGGTTCCCGAGGTGGTGCCTCGGTGGGAGTTCGGAGATGCCTTGTTCTGCGGCTGGGCAGCAGGGTTCCTCCTGGTGGTGGCCGGGCTGATCATGGTGACCTCCACCTGGTGCTCCCAGGCGGAGCACCACCCTGCGCCACAGAGGAGGTGCCACGCCAAGAGAGACCGTGACCTCAGAAAACGCTCCGAGTACGTTTAACGAACGGAACAGCACGATCACCTGTAGAGCTGCACTTCAAACTGCTTTACACCAATGACGTCAATGATTTTTATATATCAAATGCAAGATAATGTGTAATAGCTGATCCAGCCCCCCCCCCAAAAAAAACAGACTTTAATTTGTAATGTTTTAGCTCTTTTAAACACCCACATGCACAATCAGACGTCGCATTACAAGATGACCTGCTGTGATTAGTACAAGTGAATATTTTTTGTAAAGGGAGGTTTTATTAAATATACTTTGTGTTATGGGTTGGGTTTCATTTATCACTTTCAAAATGAAAAAATAAACTATTAAAGGCTTTTGTTAGGCTTTCTGTTAATGTCTCTTATTCTTAATTCTGAAGCTCAGATCGTTTCTTAGAACCACATTTTTAGTGAGTCCACTCTGGTTTTCTGGTGAGGTGCATCGTCTGATTCGGATCAGGTCTGAAGGTAAGCATTCTGCTGTTGTATAAGATCCTTGCAAGAAATATTGCCTTTCTTTCATTTTGTCTTGTGACCTGGACATTTGATTGTGTTTTTGAAAACTCTTTTTGCATAACCTTTGTTGTACTAATACATTTTGGCTTGTTTCTTTTTCTTCGTCTACTTTTATATGCCTTTCAAACTAAAAAGAGCAATTTGTAGAACTTTTTTAAATAATCTAACACTGAAATATTATTGTCAAAATTTCATAGTTATTTGTTTCCCTCCGAGTTAAGACATGCATGCTGTAAATGCAATAATTCCCACAGAGGATGGAAAGAAAATCCACTTATGTTGTTTTTTTTTTGTTTGTTTTTTTGAGAGAGGGAAACTTAGAGGTTAATAATGGTATTCATTAAAAAAAAGAGAGAAAAATGTAGATGCACTAGCCTCTTCAAAAGGTTTTTGCACTCCCAAACAGATTCCTTCTGTTTTTGTCGCTCATTTCTACATCATACTTATTATTAATCTACTTTCCCAAACTATTGGGGATCTTTTTTTTTTTTTTTTTTTTTTCCTTTTTACCATTTTTGCCCAGTCTATTTTCCTATTGCTGAGTCATGAACACTAACCTGAGCCAGGCTTGAGGAGGTCTGCAGAGCTGTAAATGTCGTTCTGGATGACTTGTTGATGATTTCTGGACTGATTTTGATCGGTCAGCCGCTGCCGTTCCAGGTTTTCCCCATTTGTCACTGACTCTGTTCCTCATTTGTCCTTGAATTTCTTTACATCACAATGTAATTTATTGCTTTTTGCGACAGTTTAGCCTGCTTCAGGTTTATTATCAGATACCCTTTAAGTGTTTCCCTTGATAATACGGCTCTGGCGGTTGTCAGAGCTGGGTATATAGCAAACCTTAAGCAACAAGTCTAACCATCAGAGCTAATTTGTGATTTAACAAGAAAAGAATATATTCCCAAAACAAGTTAAACCACCTGGAAGCTGCATTTTGTGTTCAGTCAGGTTTCCTTTGTCTGTAATTAAAATTAGGTTGATGATCTGAAGCATATAGTTGTGATAAAAAACACAGCAAAAACAGAACAAATTGTTACAAAAAAAAAGGTAAATACAAAACAAAGGAGCCACCGAAGGGTTAATTTTGTGTTGGTAAAATGCTGAAAGACCCGAGGCTGTGTGCAGCAGTGTCTTGGTTTGTGGTCTGTTATGTCAGAGGTTTAGGCACCGGCCAAACCACAGCCACCCTCAGACGACCGGTCCGGTCAGGAGGGGGGCCGAAGGGACTAAAAACAGCCGTCAGGTGTGTCTGCGGCGGTGGAAACGCAGCTTGAGGCTAATTCCATCAGATTTCCTGGTCACTCACAGAGCTAAGCTGTGTTTAATGAATACTTTAATGGTCGAAGAATGTAGCACACGTTGACATAATTACACAAATTTGCCGGGACACACTCTGCCAGGGGTCAGAGTGTGTCCCGAGCCGGTCCGCGCGGCTTCGCATGCACACAGGTAGAGCGGTGCACAACGCGACGTACGCTGTGGAAAACCTTTCCTTTATATCAGTTGTGCTTTCGGAGGAGCCAGCTCTTCCAGAATGAAGTTAATAAGAGATAATGATGTTGTCACAGGAGCACGTCTCCTGAGGGGCCCCGGGACGGGACTGGCTCTACTCCTGACCTCCTGATGGTGGTTCTGTTGAGACTCCCAGAGCCAGAGGCGCTTGGAGCAGAGTGAGAGAACATCTGCAATGCAAAAACACACAATCTGACAAAGTGCTTTTGGTCTAGTTTCTAGTTCAAGTATCCTGGCATACTTCAGGTCAATGATTCTTGAATATTGATGGAAAAGTACAAGCTGTGAGTGAAATAATCTGCCTGTGGAACAAGCACAGGCAGATTATTTCTCATATTCAGGATTTATTGATTTAAAATAAGCATCCATATCTTGCTGAAAAGTTACTTGTATGTTAGTTTTGTCTTATTTCAAGTGTACCAAGATATTTGCATTAGAAACTAAACCAAAAATACTCTGTAAGATTTTACGTTTGCACTTTGATTAGCCTTATTTATATGTTTCTGCGGGTTACCAACAATGTGGTCTAAAGATTTTCATTTCAGTTTTTACCATAACATTTGTTCCAATTTATTATCTTTTTATTTATTTACATACTACTGACAAGCATGAGTTAGAAAAAAACCCCAATTCGGTCAGTTGTAAACATTTAGTGCAACCACAGTCCAAACAGGGAGAGTATTCTTGGTTCTGTCTCAGTCTAGTTTGGTTACTTTGATGGACAAGTTTCTGGTTGTGTCTGTTCCTTTACCAACACAAAACGCGCCCTCCCTCGTTTCTCTCAGACGGAAAAGAAGAGGAGTAGACATGAGGGAGTGACTAGCCAATCAGGAGTGGATTTTGATGTCACTAACTGAATTTACAGGAACAAAAATAAAAATATCTTTCATGGCATTTCAGGTACAATCTTTTCCAAATAAAGAACATTGACTTGAAATGTCTAAAAAGATAAAGGTGCTTTTGTTGGCCCGTTAACTTCTGCATTTGTTTTTAATTTTGGCAGTTTGGATCCTCCATACAATACAGGCTGCAGAGAAGGACTCCAGTCCACCATTTTGAAAGCTCTTAGCTGTAGGAAGGGTCCAAAATCAACTGTGGAGATTCTCCTGTGGATTGCAGTATGTTTCTAGCTCCTGTGAGTCTGGGCAGTGACGCAACTCAAAGGAAATGACATGCCAGCGTCTTGACAGATTATGTCTAAATACATCCGAATTCAAACAAACAAACTTACTCTGAGGGCTTGATAAACAAACTGTTTTCATACACTGCTTATAATTAGCAATCTGGGGAATTGACTAGCTGAGACACAGCACAGGTCAAAACATTCCCAATGTCGTCTTTTATATTAAGACCAGGAAATTAACTTATTGCATCTCAATTATACATATCTATATTTAGTTGTATTTTTTTTATTATAGAGAACAGAAACTATTAAATCATGGAACTCGGTTTAATGACACAACAAAGAAAGTTGCTTAAACTGAATCATGTTTTAAAGATGCTTCCAGAATCTATTTTAGCAATAATGTAAAAAAAAAAAAAAAAAAAAAAAAAAAAAAAAAAAAGACCTCGGGGACGATTTTTAAAAAATGTTTAGGCCTACATTGTCACCGACAAATTCGTTTTCTTAAAGGTGCAGTGTTACATAAAATCCACTTTTTTGAGCTTTACATCATGTTATAATGTTATTCTCATGGTGTGTTGCTTCGATACTTTCATGCATGTTTGGGAAATCCTTTAATCTCCCGTGGCAACCATTCAGGAAGCAAAAACACAGGTCTCACCAAGCACCCATTTTCAACGCAGCTCCTCGCGAACGCCTTGCTAATTGCTAGCTGCTAGCAATTAGCAAACACCTGGTGAAACTGCGCACCTGGTGAACTCGTTATGGCAGCTACTTCTCAGTGAAATATTGTCTGTAAATGGGACTTTGGAGAAATGTTATGATGACGTACCGAAGGTGGAGTTTCAGAAAGAGCAGGAGCTTCTTAGAGAGACAGAAGCCCAAATTCAAGACGTTAAATTTATTTTATGTCATGTTTAATATATACAGCGTTTTTATAACTTACGGTAACAATGGCTGTGCTAGAAATGACACTCTATGCCTGGAAAATACGCAATACTGCCCGTTTAAAATAGTAAAAGTTAAGACACACTACTTGTCTTATTAATCATGAAAGAGTGACCCAAATATTATTCCTTTAAATGAAAGTAAAGTAAAAAGTGTTTTTTTTCTAGATCAAGGAAATAGTTTGTAAGATTTTTAGATCCATTTTCTGGTGAAAAACACTGGATAAAAAATGTACTTACAGAAAAAGCTCAGAAAAATCTCTTTTATACATAATCAATAGAGTTTTCCCCAAGAGGAGATTTTTTTTATTACGTTTACAGATTTCATCTGCTCTTTCTGTAGTGACAGATCTGAAAGGACGGTCAATCTTCAATCAGATCTGCTAATGTAAAACGTTTAAAAGTAAAAAAAATAAAAATAAAAATAAATAGCGCTAGTTACGCTCCACCACTGCAGTAAATCATACACGTTAATTATTATCTGTTATCACTGATCTCTGTCGAACATCAAAGCATAGAGTTATACTAGAGACCAGCTCCTCCTGCGCCGGGAGTTATCTCTCTCTCTATCTTGGTTTACCGAAGGAAAATGCCAACATCCCAACAAAGCTGTCATCCAGTCAGCTGGCTTACAGGAAAACAAAACAAACAGTGGAAACATCTGCATCAATCATCAGTTGTCTTTTTTAGTGCTCTGGCAATGATTTCTAACCGATATGAATTTGACGACTATAAGCGAGACAGATTGTGACCCAGCCTGGACGGACCGTGTGTGTGTTTGTCAAGCGTTATCTGCAGAGGTGTGTGTGTGTGTTCATCACAGGGAGGGAGCTACAGGACTTGATGACTTCCTCTTTAAATATGTAGTCTACCGGAATGTTCTTGATCCATTATGTCAATGTTGATGTGTTAATGTTAAAGTACCTCGCAGCTGTTGTCCACTTTGTGATTTTAAAGTGAGCCGAGTTCTAATGAAGTGAAGTCAAGAAGAGGAGCTTTTGTTTTTCCACCCGCCTGCCTCCTCCAGAGAGGTGCAGCAAGCCGCTGGACCAATGTGTGTGCGCATGTGTGTGTGTGTGTGTGTGTGTGTGTGTGAGAGAGAGAGAGAGCATGCCTTGCCTTGCAACAATCACCCCCAGTAAGGCGGGCCCCTCTACGTACTGGCATGCCTGCTCTCGTCCTACGCAGGTCACATGAGCGAGGCCCCCAGTCAACCTGACTCGCTGATAGCCGTCCTTGCACGGAGACCGTCAGAAGCCCACACCTTGGACTCCCTCCCCGTCCTGAGCTGTGATGACACCGATCTGTCGTCACTGGCCCAGAGGCTGGCCGACTGCTGAGGGCGCTGCGTGATAACGGAGCAGAAATCCAGTTTATGACCATCCGAGGATAAGAATCCGACCGAGACCTTCAGCCCAGTCGTAACGAGCAGCACATGATGTCTCGTGTATCTTTTATTTACATATTAAAGTAAGCTCTTTTGGCTTTTTTATTGTTTTTATTTCTTTTTATTATTATTATTTTAACACCTTAGGTCAGCAGCAATCATCAGAGGTCGGATGATCCTCCAGCTCCTCTGTTAAAAGGGCAGTATTATGTATTTTCCAGGCACATGGCGCCATAGCACAATCACCTTGTTGCCTTCAGTTATAAAATTACTATATATATCAACTATGACTTAATTGAAATTGGACCTCTGTCTCTTTAAGAAACTCCTGCTCTTCCTGAAACTTTAACCCTTTAACAAAGTTTTTACAGCGTTCCACTAAGAAGTCAATAAATGAGCTAATTGCTGCTGGCTAGTCTGAAGGAGCTCAGTCCGGGTGGGGAGGTGGAAGGCGGGGCTAGGTCCACCCAGGCGTTTTGCAGCGGTGGAGTGGTTGCCACGGGAAATTAAAGGATTTCTCAAGGCGACGCCTCAGGTATGTTTTGGACGAGGGAATCAAATTATAGCATGATGTAAAGCTCCAAAAGACAATTTTATAGAATACAGCCCCTTTAATCTAAAGTATCTTTATTTTAAACGACAGACCAGCAGAAGTTGAGGAGACTTGTGAAGGAAAAGAATAAATCGTGTTAGAAATATCTGTAATAAATATACTCTAAACAAGACGTAACTGTTTTTGCTGTTGCGATGAAGGCAGCTCTAAATCAGTTATTTGAATTAGATGTACATTTTCATGTACGTATTTTATTTTTTGAATCTTTTTCTACTTTCTCTATTGATTCTCACTGTTTTATTCCTACATTACTATTTGCGATGTTGGTTTTATCACTCTTATCTGAACTTACAAATCTAGATTTATCATTTTAATGACTATGTTAAGCATGTCACCATAGCTACCATGGTTGTGTTTCCTCAGTCAGTTACCTCTGTTAACTACCATCTCTTTTATTTTCATGGCTAGCCTTGACAAGATCATTATTATTTTTTGTTTGTTTTCTGCAACCTCCAAATATCATCCTGTGGAAATCCCTTTGTGTTGCTGTTGTTGTGTATGAAAAATACCCTGTAATTAAATTGATTATTTGATTGTGTTGCAGGCGTTTTAGCTGTTTTAAGATATCAAAATGCTTTGATCTGAAAAATGACATTGCAAATGTGGTTGATTTTTGTTCGGGATAGTGCTAGAGGACGAACCTCCACAATAATCTCAAGTTTTATTTTATTTTTTGCCAGACTTATTAGATCTTTCAGGAGTTGTTCTCTAAAAAACCTCTGAGAACTTAATGGAACAATAGCATTCACGCCATCAGATACAGTAGCAAGACATTACACCGAAGTTTGTGGTTTTAGAGTAAAAAAAAAAAACCCATAGCGATTCAAAGTCTGAGCCAGACGCTGTATGTGGGATGTACTTTAGAGGTGAGTCGGCTTCACAGAGGTCTTGTCTGCGTTCTTCCAGGGTTCAGCGTATCCTCTCCAACCAGTCTGGTCCAGCAGACCGTTACTGGTCTTCAGGAGTCACTAGCTTGACAAATCAGGGTCAGGTGGCCAGGTGGCATTTGTGAAAGGTCACTGGAAACAAGACGGCCATGTCAGCTTAAACGGAGATAACATTTTAAATGTGGTCTCCCGCAAAAACGTTGAATGATCTAGTTATTGGTGGTTATATTTATTTGGATTCCTGCCACAGAAAGTGTGTAGCACATGAGATGGCGTTCATCAGGGTGATTCCTGCTATCGTTTTTGTTGAGTTTTTGGCACCTGCCATTGCGGAGGAATCTTTAACATACGGACATGGTTGGTGGTTCAGAAATGTTCTTAAAATGTGTAGAACCATCACAATCTTTCTTCACTGTAGAACCCTGGGTTATCCATCGCTTTACTGTCACCCTTGGGCAGCTCAGACTTTCTTGGCAGTGTTGGTACCGTACAATGGCCGCTGAGCGGGTCCGTGGTTTGCGATGAATGCCTGTAGCAGAAGAAAATCACTCCGCTTATCAGCATCAGGATGGAAGCAAACATTCCCATTCCGATGGCCGCTCCCACACTCTGCCGGACCGGAGCGACGGGCAGGTTGAACTCTGGAGGAAAGTCTATGGTGCTGTTGTTCAGAACGGAGGCCATGTTCCACACCAGGGGCACCAAGGACAACATTGCCGTGACCGAATACAGAGCCCCGGCTACCATGAAGCTCAGCCTCATGTTCCTGCGGTCTTCCACTGAGAAGTAGGCGAACCTCACGGCCACCGCCGCGCTGACGTTCCCCAGCAGGCCGGTGATCACTGCCAGCATCATCAGGACCTGAGCCGAAGGGATCTCGGCAGGGACGAAGCTGTCCGAGACGCCAATGCTGCGACAGTACTCGGCCTCGGGGAGGACGTGGCTGTAGAAGCACGCCTTCCATATCCCCACCCAGGCCACGCCTGACGTGATGACGGACATGTCGTCCACGTACCAGAGGCGCCACTCGTTGATGCCAGTTGTCGTCACGATGAAGAGCCACGCCAGAAAGCCGAACACAAGACCCAGGAACTGGCAGTGTGCTGTGTGAGCCAGGTAGATCATTCCTGCCCCCGGGGTGTGGCTGCTGATGCTCAAAGAGACGAGAGGCCGCAGGGCGCCATTACTTCTGCTAAACAGAAAAACAAGGCAGGCGAGGTTGTATAAATCACACGTACATGGACTCTTCAGACCTCCTTCAACTGTTTCCCAGGTTACAACCACAATCACCAATGTAGTTTTAGGGATTTGTGGTGATCGACCAACAAGAAGCTGTGCTTAAAGTTACAGTGGAATAGAAAGGAGTTCAGCCCTCCTGACTCAAGACTTTGTAGAAACACAGACGGTGGAGCTAAAAGCTTCACAAGCTTTGCAGATCTAATGATATTTTTTAGCCATTCTTTTTTAAAAGAAAGCTCAAGCTTAGCTTCCGAATGAATTAGTCTGAACTTTGACTAGACCATTCTAACGCATGCAAATTGTTTGATCTAAGCCATCCCATTGTAAACTTTGTCGCAATACTTGCATCCTTTTTGAATTATAGAGAGAAGAACCATGCTCATGTAACACCTCTGATGAAGACGCCGAGGAAAAGCAGTTATTGTACCATTAGCTTATCGAGAAATGAACTTTGTCATAAGACCTTTAACTTGTAATAAACTACTTGATATTCGTAACAAACCCCTAAAAACCAAAAGTAGTGCGGGTGATTACTTTTAAACTATTGGTGAAATGAGAGGAGCAATAAAACTTAAATTATTTTGTCACTTGATGGAGTCATGTGTTGTTTCATAGTGAAATAAGTAATTATTTAATGTAACTGTTGTCTCAACATAGCAGGTTGTTCTAGTTATTAGATTTTTTAAGAGCAATATTTGTGTGGACTTGATTGCAGTTGTGTTGGATAATATACTTCCAAAATTGCCAAAAAAGAAAAAGAATGCAACAAAATTTAAAATACTTTTTATAGTTACCTTTATTGTCAATGCAAGAAAACTGCAGAATCTATACACGTTCTAGTCCAAACTGCTTAAACCCAGTGCCTTAAACGAGATGTGGCTTTGAGGCCAGGAAGAGGCACAAAACTACCCAATGAGTTGAGAACCGGGCCTTCCAGAGCCACAGCTCTACAGGTCATGTCCTGCTGACCGTTTATGAGCCGTAGTTCACTCTCTGCATTTGTTACCGAAGTAAATGAAGTCCACGCGATAAAACATGAAATGTTGTCAGTTAATGTTTTCTGCCATGGATTGAAAGCCAAAGGAAAAAACTCAGTTCTGTTTTACCAGTTTCCAACAAAATGTTTTATGGTTAGTCATGGTTCTAAAATGTTAAAATCTTCTACCCGTCATCATGTAACGAGGCCAAAGTTCAGCTTTATGTTGTAATCCTATGTACACATACATTATGGAGCACCTTTTGTATGATCAGCTGTTCCTTCTGTTAATACATTTCCTACTTTCATGTAAAGAGTAAACTATGAATCATAAGGAGCTAGCAATACATTTCAAAATTCAAACTACGTCTTTGCTTGTTTGAAGGTTATATTTAGGGGAATTTTGAATTTTTCATCCAGAATATAATAAAATTGCACACCTTCAGGTACAGTCCGTTTCAACCATGTCAATGATTGTCTAAATCTTTGAAGGTTACACAACTAAATAAGATGACTGAGTTACATTTCCTCCTCTTACCTGGATGATTGTGTAGTTCAGACTTGCTTCCATAGACGCGTTCACAAGAGCAGCACTGTAGGTTTTCCTTCAGCTCTGAGCAACATCTGACTTTTAATAATGTTCTACTTCCTGAAAAAGTCTTCACCTTCAAGCTTATCAGTGGATTTAGAGGTGTGGTGGAGTTAATGGTTAACTCCGTAGAGTGAACGGCAAAGAAATCCTCCCACAGCTGTGTGATTTCAGCAGACTCTTTATTTTATATGAGGGAGCACAGCTGATGAAGTGTTTAGTGTCAGGATGCAGTGGTGCATGAAAGTGTGTAAGACTGTAGCAAAGTGTGTACCTTCAAAACAAACATCCGGCAGCTTGATTTAACCCATAAGAAGCCAAACAGCTTTAAAGTCTGAACGGTCGAATTACTTTGCGATTTTTGGCTCCACCTAAACAACTTATAGTACTATTCAAGTAACAACTGCAATTGTGCATTCAGTTTCGACACTGCATAACAAAACACAGTGAAGTCATAAAACATTATATAAACACTTGGTCAAAATATATAAGTGGTAATCAATAAACATGTTAATGTGAAATAAAAAGAGCAGCAGTGAGTGAAGGTGGTGATCGTGACGTTTTCCACTGCAAACAGGACATTTACTTCAAGTCTGAATTGGACGCTCCTTCTGTACGGCGGCGCCGTGTGAAGAAATGTTTCTTCAGAGAGGAAAGCAAGGCCACAAGAACTCGGCTGAAAAGGCTCCTAGTTGATCTGCTAAAGGGCGCTGCATTAAAGTTTCCTGAAATATTTGGATTTTTAATAGATCACGTGACAAAAATAAACTCAGAACACGATAAATACTGTAACACGCATCAGGTAGCACGGCTGCTCAGATTAACGGACAAAATACTCCCCTCCCACCCGCCTCTTTTCTTTACTTTGCAGATTCAAAAGGCTACAATAAATTACTAGGAAAACAAAAAGTAAAAACGGTCTTCAGGTATAGTGGTTGGTGGAGAGGAATTCAGTCCAAACGGTGCCGACGATGCAGTCCGGTCCAAAACGGTACAAGGAAAAGGTGAAGCGGCGAAGCAGAGAGAAGAACACTACTTCTTTGTTCCGGACTGGCTTTTCATCTGCAGGTTCTGATCTCTGTCTCCCTCTGCTGGTGACAGGACTGAACTGACGCCTGAGCGTACATGACGAAACTTTTCATAGCAGGTCAGTTTTTTTCCTTAAATGACCACCATCCTTTCTTCTTCTGTCTTTTTTTTTAATCACATGGCCAGTCTTTGCTCTATGGGCAGGCTGTCTATCAGACATTTGAGCTGCTCCTCGCCGAGTTTGATTTTATCCTCGAGCTTTCGCTGCTCGATGATGAGCGCCGACTTCATCTTCACAAAGTGTTCGTAGTCCGCGAGGCTGTCCTCTGGCAGGTAGTTGGCCAGGATGTCACAGACCACGCCCTCCCTACGGTCCAGGTTCTCCTTCAGCTCCTTGGCGTCCTCATGTTGCCGGATCAAAAGCTTCCTCTTCTCGATCAATGTGCGCTGAAATAAAAATAAATAATTAAAAAAAAAAATCAGGTAATACAATTTCAGACTTTCAACTTTTTGTCACATGGACCAAAATCATCAGGTCAAAAACTTGAGGCCCCAAAAAAGTCATTTTTAATAAAAATATATATTTAACATTTTTTTTAACCACGTTGATAATGAGACGGATTAATTGAGCACAATAAGTAGTCCGATTTTTCATTTCTGTTGAAAGTGCCAAAACTTTAGGTGTTTTTCAAATCTCCCTGATTAAAGTAAGTATTTGTAGTCAGTTCAGAGCAATAAAAACAAGATTTAGGTCACTGTTTGGGGCTGGATAGTCTGAATGCAAAAAGTGTTTATTTACAGATAAACAGTTTGTATTGTAATAACATTTTTCTGTCCCAATTAAAATAAAACCTGTTCTGTTGGCTAAATTTGTATTCTTCCTGAACTGCAGTCAGCGGCCGCACAAAGTTTATTCTGTCATTGGTCACCGTCCTAAAATAATGGTCCAAGTAAAAGCGATTGTTTTTTGGTCTAAATCATCTTTTGGCAGTAGCGGAGTGGTTATTTACTTATTTATTTTTGGGGGGAGAAATCACTTTCGACCAAAAACTGACTCAGGCCGTTATTTTAGGACGGCGACGTTGTCAGTAATTAGCGGTGTGCTCACCCTTTCCTCGGGCATAGCGTCCTCCTCCAGGTTGTTGAGGGCGTTCTCCACCCGGGCCAGGCGGCCCGACAGGGACAGCAGCAGGCTCACCACCTTGTCCAAATCGCCGACGAACATCCGGAACTTCTCCAGCTCATTGGGTCGGCACACCTGCTGGACGCGGGCTTCCACCTCGTCTCCCAGCGCGTTGTTGTCCAGGATGTCCTCCAGAAGGCTCTCTTTAGCTTCTCGCAGCACCTGCAGCTTTTTGCTGAGGCTGTCGATTAGCTCTTGCTGCAACGGAGTGTTCCAAAACACCAACGTTAAGGATAAAAAGAACAAAAAAAAAAAGAAAGTTCTTCTAGAATCCTGTAAGAGTCAGAAAAATGTCTTTGTACCTTTTTATTGTTCAAACCGATGTCCAGTTCGTCCTCGGAGTCTTCCTCCTCGTCCTGGTCCTGCATGTCCTTCATTTTGATAAGCAGCTCGGCTTTGGGGGCGGAGGTGCTGTAGTACGTTGAACTGGTCACCATGGTGACGGCCGCCGCCATGTTGTCCTCTTTTTCCCTGAAATGCAAAGAATTAGTTGGAATTGATCAAAGTAGAGGAAAAACAACCCACAGTATTTTTAACCTCCTTTAGTTAGAGGAGAGCAGCTTTCCAAGCCATAACTGATTCAGAAGAAAATAATTACAGCTGCTCTCAAACCATAAGAAGATTAAAAAAAAAAAAAAAAAAACTATAAATACAGTGCCAACCATATTTTTGAAATATGTTCATCTTTTGTTTATCTAGCCAGTGGGGAAACAAGTGACAATTATCGGTCAAATTCTTTTATCTCGTGTTTTTTAGGACGATGAGAAACTGCCAAGTCAGCAGGAAAGTCATAAAAACCCCAAATCTCACTGTTAAACAGCAGCAAAAGGTGTAGTCATCTTGGGGCTAGTAGGTCTCCATAGCAACCATTTAGATATAAATAAATAAATAAAAATGCTTCAGGCACGTTCTCAAGCACGGTGGAGAATCTGTGATGTGGGCCTGTTTCTCTTCCAAGAAATTCTGCAGGAAAATGGGTCACTGGTGCGTTAAGCAGGAAAATAATTATACTTTTTTTGTAGGTAATATTGTTCAAATTTCACATTTTTTGTGAAGGTCAGATCTGCAGATTGTGATTTTGACTAACTTTGATGTAGTTTTAAATTAAACAAAGTGATGTTTACTCTAATTTTACTGTCATTTATAAATCAGTGCATCTGTTCTGAAATTTTAATTTCTTTGGACTTATTAAAAAAAGAAGCTTTTTGACCTGCTGACCATCGCTGCCTGAGTGATTGTTGTATCTATCACACAGGAGTGCAAGAATATTTACCAAAGATTCATTTAAACAGTTTAAATTGAAAGCATCTTCCACATCATTAGCCTGGATGCCAACAAGTGTGGCTGCATCAGTTTCCTGCCAAAATGGTAGCAATCCCTTTTACCAAGACTGACGAACAGTTTTGTCAATTCTACTCAAAGTTTAGCAACAACAACAAAAATCTTAACCTTCAAGATTTAATCCTAACATAACGGCAACAAAATTTGAGATCATGGATACAAAGTTGTGCAAACTCCAGAGTCCAATTCAGTTCAAAAGTACTCTCTTCATCCGAAAAGGGAAATTACATGTTCTAATTCATGTTAAACCTTTTTTTTTTAAAGCAGTGCTGAATGAAGGAATTACACAACCATCCCTGCATGAAAACATGTCTCTAACCTGTGTCTCATTTTATTAAAATAAAAATAATGCATCAAGTTCAATGCTGTTTTGTTGATGGGTTGATAATTTGGTTTCCTTCTGTTGTCATGGTAATTAGGAAGGCATCTATTTATTCACTTAAACTTGAAAGTACACCATTGTGTACCCAAATCTGCTTTTAATTGCTGTATTAAAATTTGGCTAAATACAAAAATAGTTTTCAAATAAAGACTGACCAAGAGTCTGTTTTTATTGCCGAGATTAGACAAAATATTGTTTCAGCTTTCTTTAACTCACCCACGGTCTTAAGAGCCTGGTGCATTTGGACCCCAGCGGTTTTTGACTGGTGGAGTTGGACTAATCTCGTTTGCACAACCCACATATGGAGGCCTTAGTCCTGGACGCAGCTGTCGCAGGTTCAATTCCCGGCCTTGGTGACCTTTGCTGGATGTCTTCCCCCTTCTCTCATTACCCACTTTCCTGTCAATTAACTATCAAATAAAGGCAACTAGAGCCAATAAAACCTAAAAAAAAAAAAAAAAAAAAGAAAAGAAATTTTCTCTTTCGAGTCGTTTTTTGAACTGACTGACAGGACAATCTCCTTCCTCCGCTGCCCAAAGTCGCCGCCACCCCACTGTCTGACCGTGACATCTGCCGCACTCCTCCTGAGCATAGCGCTAAGACCATGGGAGGTTTCCTCGCACCAAAATAAGTAAACTTTAATTTAACAAGAAAAACATGCAAAGAAATATCTGAAGTTTTGGATTTACGATGCCGTTCCTGAAAAACGAATTTCATTATTTTAATTAAAATTGTTCATGCATAGTTTATTTTTTTTAAGGTCAAAATCAACTTTTCAGGTGACTTTACCTTTTAAAAATGATATTTTTTGGCCCATGAGTAGTACTTTTGACCTGACCATTTTTTGTCCATGTGACAAAAAGTTTGGACAGTCTTGATTTACAGCCTATCAGGTGAAAACTGTCTGATTGGTCCGTCTCAGTTTGCTACAAAGGACAGAGTGACTGACCTCTCTTCGACGGGCCGGTTTGGGTTGCTCTGCTTCGTCTGCACCTTCCTGCGCTGGTGGGCTCCGTCCAACAGCTGCTCCTCCTGAGGGAAGATCCCCTCCATCAAGTCCATGGTGGTCCTCATCTTGCTTTGATCCAGAATATCAGCGAGTGACTTGTCCTTCCCCATGATGTCCCTCGCCAGCTCC